TTATTGAAAGCTTCATCAAAGAAAACAGAAGTTTAAACCTAACATCCACTGATCTACAGAAAGCCCCAGGAGTGGGAAAATGGCAGCTATTAGGATTGTGGTACAAATGGAAAACATCAAAAAAAAATCATAGCAGTACAGATCTTTCAAAGACATTCTGAGACATCAGTACACAGATGCCCATATAAATAAGATTCATAATTTAAAGTATCACAGAGGTTCTGTATTCTACATTTTGGCTCCAGTGAGGTCTGTAAGGGCTTTAAAGAACCTCTGTCCCATTTGTGTGATGCATGTTTTCTTGATAGGAAGTTCATCTACCTTCAATGCTGCTTTGATTTTTCTTACAGACAGAATCTGTTCGTTCTCCTTTAAATAGGAAAACAATTAAAAGTTCCTATATGAATTCTATATGCTTCTTGGTTTCACATATAATTGTTTTGCCTCCAAAACATAGCAGAATTTTCTGCTATCTAAATTCAGAAGATAGCAGAAGGTAGCAGTATTTTCTGCTTCTAAAATACCACCGAATTCATAAAATTATTATCCAAGAGAAAGACACTTAAAGGCAGAGAATTAATGTCTGGCAGATACTTTCTTAAGGACAATAGATCCAGATCTTGGAAGGTGCTTATACCTTGCAGGATTTTAGCCCTACAAGGAAAAATGGATCTGTGAACCTGTCATAGTCTGACATTCTTCACTTCATTACACATTTTTATTAAGGTTGAAGGAACTCAACTGTCACTGGTGGGGAATTAAATCCAGAACAATTGAAACAAAAGCAAGATTTTTTCTCATAATGGAAGCAAAAACAAAATTGAGATTTTTTTTTGACAGTTTTTTTCTCTTTTTTTTTTAAAATTTAATTTTCACAACATATTGATAAAGGGGATGAGAAAAGGTCTCTTCTGCCTGCTTTGAGGCACAAAGGTGAATAAATCTCTGGGGTACATAGAGCGTTCGGGTCTATTTGAGTGACAGGAGCAACATAGAAAGTTGGTGCTTCTTTGAGGGGAAAATAACTCTCCTTACACTGTCTTTGTTGCCTGCTGAGATTCTAGAAATCTGTTCCACTGAAGGAGAGGAGAAGTCTGCTGCTAACTCGTCCCTCCTTTTGAGAAAGTGTGCGCACATGATTGTGTATAGGCATTATTAGAAATGAAAGGAATTATCATTATTACAGTCAAACGTCATTAAACAGAAAAGACTAATATACCACATGTCAGCACGTTTTTTGTTGTTTTCTGTTGCATTTCCATCACACCGTGACTGGTTTTCTTGGTTCACATGGCCTACCTAAAAGGACTGGTAAAATTCCTTAGCCTAGGGCACTTCTTTTATATCAGGACCAATTTCATGTTAAATAAAGTTTTAAAAGGAAATGTTGACCATGTCTGTATCAAACATGACTATCTTCAGCTAACACATTTGGTCTCATCACTAAAAATGGATTGATTCATTACTTTAAGCACATTATCACTCTTTAGCATGACTCTTATTATAGGTGGAGTTCAGTGAGTCTGCCTAAACCTGTTTCACTCATGTCAACCTCAGCATTAAAATGAAGTGGCACGAGGAGCACCATCAAGCTTAAAATTATGAAGCAAGGCAATTTGTTAAACACTTAATATCACTCTCATCCTTCAGTACCATAAGCAACATAATATAGATCCAAATACTATGACATATTAAAAATAAACTTTATTACAATGCAGGCTTCCTCAAATTTGCCGAGTTCTGGTACACACACATACATAAATAATACCCTTCATTTGATTTTTACTCACGTAAAAATCCATTTGAATGCTTAAGCCCGTTGCCCACTGAAAGTTTAAGTCCTCACTTCCCTAATCACCAGCTTTTATTTCCCACAGTTGGGCATGCATCCATACCAGAAGATGACACAGTGCGATGCAACTGCTCTTAAATACGCCTCATTCTGCATTACGCTGGATTTCCCGACCAACACAACCAAGGCAGTCTCTCGGTAGACAGAACTGTACAAGTCAGCACGAGCTAGGGACGTTTCAAGAGTCTGTTTCACTGGAAGGCAATAGGAGGACATTCACCATTTGAGCCTGACTGTCACGGGTGAGAAGTGCTTACAAAACCAGCAGTAGAGCCAGATAGGAAGAGACCTTTTCAGTGCCCTGATCTACGCTCTGGTCAGCACCTGCTAGCACAACGCATTATCCTCTCTTCAGTTCCACTTTTCAGTTCAGTATCCATTTTTTTTTTTTCTTAGCTATTAAGTGACGAGCCCAGGTATTCAAAATTTTCTAGCCACAATTCTTCTGACACCCTTCCTGTATTTATCCTTGAAGGCAAAAACAAAAATACCAAGCCTGAACATCCAGATTTGACTATTTACAAGAATTCAGGTGTGATGGAAAGTACATACGCAGTTCAGCTTATGGATTTAATGTTACTTCTAGGCCGCTGGACCAGGCACCATGGCCTAGACTTCTAGAGTTGTTTCTGCAATCTTTTAGGAACCCTCCTGATAGTTAAAGCTAAATTGGCAAGACATAGATATTGACTTTATAAATTCAGGTCTTGAAAAGGCAAAAAAAAAAATCAATCAAATAATAATAAAAAAGTAAAAAAAAAAAATCTTATTAGCCAGAACATGGAGAAGAATAGTTTTAGGTTTCAGAAGCCACCCAGTATCCCTGTCTTATGACAACACCCATGCAGCAACTGTGCTGCACTTCAACTGTTTTCATTTTTCTCATCTTTAACCTTTACAAATCAGTTCCTGTTTTCTGAGCATTTTGCACATTCCAGATAAGCTTTTTCTTACCTTATGATACATGACTGCTTATACTCAAGGCTCACATTGTTTATAATTCATACACTTTTGAGGACTGGTTCATTGTTTTTTGAAATCAGTCAGATCATCAATTGGATTTAAGGGGTCCATTTTCTTTCCTCTTCATCTTCTTCCTCTATTTCTTTGCTTTGTTTCTTTTGATTTTAAACACTATTAAACATTCTACCATGGCAAAAATTAAAAAAGAACAATTCTAACACAGAATGCACTTGAAACACTTTAAAGTGACAGGCATCATGATATTGTGTTTCCTGTCTGGCTTAATAAAAAAACACTGAGATTGTTTAACTTTATTTGCTGAAAAAAATAATAAAAAATGTTTCTGAATGTATAAATAAAGCAGCAGAGTTCTGAATAGAAACAAGAAGGTACCTCAGCATATTCATCAGCCACATGGTAGCTACCTTGTAGCCTCATTGTTGATAGTAAATGAGACTTTTTTATGTCACATTAGAACTAACACAGAAACAAAATGTGTTTAATTCATATTTACGTGAACTGTGCCTGGGGTTATCTCTATTTGTACAAAGAGTTCAAAGAGAGACAGAAGGACAATGTGTCTAGAAAGGAAGAAAATAAGGCTAGATTGATTTTTTTTCCCCCATATGCCCTCCTAAGAAAGAGGGAACCTTTATCCAAAGACAAAATTAAGTCTCACTCTCAAAAAAGCAACAAATAATGAGACAGCATATGAAACAGAAATAAAAAGGTTTTTTTTTTTTTCTAAATTAAAAACATGTTGTGGATGTTGTTCTTTTACTTTGGCATCATCTGTTTTTCAGAAGCAATAGGATCAACAACTACTTAGGAAAAAGCAGCAGTTTTATCACTTCTGAAAACCAGGTCCTCTTCCTATAGTGAATAACCACTTGAACCCCCATTTCTCTGTTTTACACGTTGCATATCTAGCAGCCATTTACTTGGGAAATCCCCTCCCCCCATCCCATGTTAAAAAATACGATCCTGTTTTATCAATTTAAAAAAATAATTGTGTTTTTTTTTCCCTCTAAAAGTCAGGTCAGGGAAACACAGATCTCTTTTTAGAATTGGGTGGCTGAATCAGATTGATCCAATAAATATATATGTTTTAATTAATTTATTTTTAAATGGATACCCTGTCTCTAATGCACCACAACAAATGTGGTGAAGCTTCCTCTTTCTTTGAGATGGAGGAAAGTTTCAAGGTGTTTGGCTTAATTTTTATATATAGCTATATATGTATGCATGTATCTATTTAAATGCTGCTTCTCTTTTGCCTCCTAAGGAAAAAAAAAATCATCTTTTGACTTGCTTCTCACCTTTTGTGTTTGTTTGTTTGAAAAAAGCAAAGATCATAATCCATATTTCTCTGTGGAAAATAACTGTCACTCCTAAAAAGGGTTTCAGTGGATTCAATTTAGTTAGTGTCTTTTTGCCTAATCAGTGATTGTCAGCCAACATATTAAGACAACAGAAATCAGAGCAGAGAAGAACAATTTTTAACTTCTGCCTGCGTGACAATACTATCCGGAATCGTTTTCAACGTTGCTGCTTGCGCGGGAGAGCTAAGATGAGAGCAAAGATCAGGGTTGCTTTCTGTCGCACCTAAGTGGCAATTCCATTGCACCGCTGGAAAACAAGCGCAGGGGCACGGTGGCTAGGCATGCTGGACGATGACCAAGACTGAGGTGAAGAAACGAATCTGCGGCATGTCGGAATTCAGAAGGAAGACTGTTGTTTCAGTAGAAATACCAAAGATCAGGCAATTCAACAGAAAAAGAACTCGTCAAAATTAAAGCCCACCTGGATAGGTTAGTTGGCAACCCGCTCCCCTCGGCTTTGTGATGTTCTCCAAAGCACACCATCAACAAGCTTCCAGTACCAACTACTCTGAAATTTCCACTATAAACATATGCAGTATGGAAAACACCAGTGGAAGATAGTTTAAACAAACAAGAAAGTAAGAACTGGTCCGGCCATGTAGGTCAAATAAAGATAAAAAAAGAAAAAAGAAACCTCTATCTTCTGGACTGCGTTAGGGTGTCACTTCATCTTTGGTATAAAATAGGCCATCCATAGGCTGCATTTGTTCACAACTAGGAAAGACTACAGAAATTGTCAACAATTTCTTCTATCTATTGCTTTTTTTTGCACTTTTTTGACCATAAGCTCCTATCTACTTAAGTTTTTTTTTAATGCTCTTAAGCTAGGTTTTTGCAATGTGACAAGCAAAGCAGACTAAAAACTTCTTAAAGCTCATAAAAAAGACTGCAGATAAAAAGCACTAATGCTTTTGCTAGCGATCACGCTTTGTAAATAAAAAAATCTGCATTCTGCAAGAAAAAAAACCCTGCATTCTCTATAATGCAGCAAGTTTTTTTCTCAATTCAATAACTTTACTGTAAAATGCTTTAGCCTTCTAGAATTTTTTCTGTCAACACTTAAGACAAAGTTCATAAAAGTCCCAGCATTTTTCCAATTCTTTCAGTTGCCACAGTTCTTTATCATCAACTTTTCTTCAAAAGAAGAAAATCATTTTCTTTTAAACTGTACAGTTTATTTTTGTTCACCCCAAAAACTCAGTCTATTAAACTTCTGCACCAGCACCGGTGTGAGCAGTTTCGATTCATTCTCGGGTTTTCTAACAAGACGTTGACAGCTTGCCTTGAGAGCTTTTGACGTCCTTAAAATTAAGGCAATTAAGATTCAAGATAAACCTTACCTAAACGTTTCTTAAAAAAAAAAAAAAAGAACAAAAACCAAAAAGAACAAAAAAATCCCACTCTAGATTTAAAACAAGAAGAAAAATAAAATGAGAGAAAAAGAGTAGCTTAATTTTTGAGGAAGACAATTGGTTTTCATCTCAACTTGCTCCCTCTTGACATCATCAGTTTTTCTGTTAAAAAAAAAAATCTAGCTACAACTCCAGGTAAATTCTGAATTCAAATGTTCGTCCAGATGAAATGTCAACCCAGCATTTTTCCTCTGGGTTTTTTCTTTAGTTAAAAAAAAATTATAGCAAAAATAAAACTGTCAGACTACATGACGGAACCATTTGCACAGCACATAAAAACACTGTTTTGTTTTCGTTGGGAAAGGTAGAAAAAAAAAAAAGCATTCGTTTGACGCCTGTGCAAACTGGAAGCCAACTTCTTGTTCAGTGAAGTTTCTCCATTCAAGGCAAAGATTTCAGACCAACATTCTTCAGTCCTGTTTATTGTCTGTAAAAACAATTGAATTAAAGTGGTCATTAAGTCAAAACAACTTTGAAATAGGCTCCTCTGCTTTTTTCCACCCAATTCCCTTTAAAACTTATCCAAGTTAAACTAACTTTGCAGCTGTTTAAATATGATACCACCACTAAGCTGAAAATAGGCAGAAATGGGGAACTCCTGCTTTGGAGACTCTAACACATCCTAAGCAGATGAATTTACTCTTGTTAATACTGTGTTTAATGGGCAATCTAACTATACTGAAATGAGATGAATACGTGGTTTAACACTGTCTAAATATTTCAAGAGTAATACAATAAGGGAACGAATATTTTCATAATATTAAGTGGCACTACTTATTTTGGATACCAATAATAAAATGAAGAATAAAATTACAGTAGAAGGATACATCCAATTTGCTAATAAGAACAAATTTTCTGATGGCAAGAGCAGTTGGACTGAGGAGCAGCTTGCTTAATGAGCCAGTTATGGCTAACTCCATAATAACATTCAAGATTATATTAATTACAAAAATATTCATTTTTGAATATACAATGTCATATTGTTCTAAATTTAGCACAGGGAAGAAGCTATACTCCTTCAGCTTCCTTGAGATAACTCTCCTTTTGTATTTTTGAGATTTTAATAAAATTTAGCAATGTGTCACATAAAACTTTTCCTAGCAAGACTATGAGATCTCTGGGGAGAGAGAGAGATCCTACTTACAAATACTTTTCAATACAGTCTTATATGTAAAGTGACTGGGGAGAGTTAGCTATTGTTTCTCCTGCAGCAGCTCAAACTTGGGTGTTTTGAGATAAACACATTTTAAAAAAATTCTCTTCCAACTCATGCTCAACACAAGAAAAGCCCACACTTTTCCTTTAATGCAAACATTAAAACATTTGCCTTTCTTATTTTCAGATGTATTTTAACATTAGGAGTTGAATTGTGAGGAATATTGATGGCCTAAAGCATTCACCACAGGTCTATTTCTCCAGCATAGTAACCATCAATTTTAAATATTAAAATCACCAAAGAACTTTTTCATTGCATGAAGCATTACAATTAATATTTTGAACCTAGCAACAGATTTATCTGGAAGCAAGATTTACGTATTTACTTAGTGTTTTCTAAAGCAGTTTTCTATGCATAACATGCAGTAAGACTACTCAAACTCGACTGCTCATCTCCCTGGCTTTTACTGCCCCTCTGCACATGGTGGGCAGCATATACATGAAAGACTGTTTCCATCAGAGGATCACAGCACACATTCTTCAAACTGGCATGGAGTTTGCCCACAAAAGGCTCCAGAGAAACTTAATTCTTCCCACATTTAAAAGCAGAGCACTCTATCCAGCAGACAGTTTTGTTTGGGGGTGAGAGAGTGGAATTTCCAGGAGGAAAGGGTTCCATTTAACTCCACTTTAAAGATTTCACACACTTTTATGTGTAAAATTAAAGTTTTGCAAAGGAAAGAGCTATTCTGGATTCAAAATAACTGAGGCAATTTCCTCAGAGTCCTCAGCTCAAAAACAGAGGTTTGCTAGACACTTCTAGCAGTCAAGTGTCTGACCTAAAGTTTCATTTCTGAACATCCCTGGGTGGGATCCATCACAGCAGCCAGTATATTAAATAAAAGAATGTATGCTGACTAAAAAAGTAGATTTTTTTAAAAGTTCTGTGGTTTACACATGTATGGAGTACAAAATTTTTATTCTACTCAGTTCATTCTGAGTAGTTCCCCCTCCTTTGTTGCCTGAAATTTCATGACTGTAGCAAGGAAAATATAGTCAAATAGACTCTTAAAACTTTTCTCCTGTCCAATCAACTCATAAGAAATCATTTTCCAGTATCTGCTTTTTCCTTCGGCTATATCTGTTAAAATCACTGTCTGGTCATTTTTAATAACTTCCTGTCTATTGCTTTGAAAATGGCTGTTGTATGTTGGTGCGCTGCTTGGTATTGATAAAGGTGACCTTATGAAGCGCAGATTAATAAAATTACAATTTAACTGAAAAAATCTTTGCTTTTATATGAATGGTTAATGACATATTCCAGCACGAGTGTTTTTTAAAGAGAGACTATATGATTTTGCTTATTTCTATAGCCTTTGAGACATTGCATTTCTGCTCACAACTGACAGACCCAATAGAGGAGACATTTTGAAAAAAAAAAGAAATAATCATAATAAAAAATCTGTAGTGGATCTGCATTTGTGATTAAAAAAGAAATTCCTCTGATTATTAATGCCAATGTTGCTAGACCAGTATCCATCATTGCAACAAGGCAGTAGCTGACAAGGAAAAATGAGGTCTCTCATTCTCTGAGAAGCTGTAAACTCACCACACTAGCAAGAAACACAGCACTTATTTCAGTAAAGATTTGCAATGTAGTTTCATGTGTGAAAAATATCAGAATCAACTATTCACAGCTACCTTATGAAGGCTTCTGCATGTATGTCTTTCTGCTCTGATGCTTAAGTGAAAGGGAACTGGAACATGGGAATGGTCAGCTCCAAATCCTTTCAGAAGGCAATTATCAAAACAAGGGAACAGCATGGTGTTGTCATGTATACTTTGCATATTCTCTCTGCATATTCTATTATGTAAGCTTTTTGCTATTTATTTTTTTATAGACACTAGAGAGACTGATGGTTAGAAGGGGTGCATGTATAAATGCACACATAAAATGTGTCTCAAAAATAGAATACTGGTTATATCTCCCCTCCAAAAAAAAGTCATCAACTGTGCAGATAAAATACATACATAGACAAATAAGGAGTGATGTCCATTTGTAGTGGTCAAAAAGGGAAACTGTGATCTAATGCCATTTGTTACTCATCTGCTAGCCAAACGGGCAAAAAAAAAAAAAAGCAAAATAACTGTCAGAATGTCAGAATTCTAACCTTTTCTATGCCACATCTTATGCCTTTTGCACTATAAGTACTATGTTGTGAGGTACTGACCAATATATCCAACATATATTCTTGTATGACTGTTTGTTTACTCCATCTGGAGGATGAAAACTTTAAATTCTCTTTTCATAGTGGTGCTGACATTCAATGAACATCTGCTAGAAAGGATTAGGTCTGGGGCAGAGCACAGTTCCTAAAATCCATCCCACTTGTACCAGTCCCTGTGATTACTCAGTCACCTGCCTAAGCAACCTAGTCTTTTGTGAGAACCACAAGTGTCTTCTAGTGTGACATAGGAAGGGGGTGCCTGAGGATTACTCTGAAGAAGATAGAAAGAGTCTTTGTAGATGTTCTGTGTCCAGCCATCACTGATCTTCAGTTTTCCCAGTTATTCCATGGGAAGCAAATAAAGTGAGCAGAGGACAGGAGGAAAAATGAATGGTCCTTCTCCCTTTTGTTATCCCTTCTCTCCTTTCAGTTTCTACCCCCTCAGTGTCTACACAGTACCAGTTGTGCACGCTGAATACCAAGTTGGTGCAATTTCTACTGCTTCACTAGCCATACTTTCAGAAACTAATCTTTAGATGTGTTACATACCAACATTTTCACCACTGCAAAATTTAGGCCCTCCTGTTAACTTCTGATGCCAAATGCCAGCTTAGCCCAGCATGGTCATTGCTAATGCAGTCCTACAGTTTCTATATACCCAGAACTCCTCTGAATTTAATGAAGCTACTTTGAATTTTATTGTTGAAATGGAGAGTGGATTTTGCCCTATATGTCTATTTTCAAGAGATATATCCTTCACATCACAAAGAATATGCCCACTTACTTAGACTGTTGGTAAGAATATGCAGGCGCATGTTCACTGGATGTTTCCACTGTCATCTGTTGCTGTTGACCACTGGCTTCCTGTGATGAAGATGCTACTGTCTGTGGAGAAGTATCAGCAACGACACCCTAGGGAAGCAAAATAACATAAAAAATTTACTAATTGTACTCATATCAGTGAGGCCCAAGAAGGAGCTCAGCACTAGCTCACCATTCCTCAGTTTCTCTAGATGTACCCCCTCATAGCTGAGAGGGTCTGAGATAGCAGAACCACATGCTAATGCAGCACACTGTCAGTTTAAGCAGAGCGGTAATCTAGCAGTCAGTAGCTTTCTTATTATAGAGACACCTGTGGAAAATAGGAATTTTCCAACAATGGAAAATACCTGCACATTTGAGGGTAGTTCCCTACCCATTCAAAGTCAAAGGCAAAACTCCTGCTGACTTCAGTGGAGCCTGGGTTTTGCCTCTTATCTTTTTATTACAACACAGGTATGGCTTTGCTGATTTTCACTTGCTTATCCCAATTCCACAGAGACTTTGCATTTACTTTGCCTTTACTTTGTGCAATGAGGTAAGGGCAGAATCTAGCCCCTCCACTCTCTCCTTTATTACGTATCATACAGGAATCAACCCTTCCTCAAAAACTACTCAACTCACATGTATGCACTTTTTATGTATTCTCCCTTTTAAAAGTAAATTTACTTACACACAAAAAGATCTGTTATGTCAGAGTTTGCTTTGCTTTTATGTATAGATTTGTAAAAAAAAAAAAAGCTAAATAATAGTTGATATGTCTGAATTGAACGTTGCACACTATTTCTTATCCTCATTAGACACTCTGATACCTATTTTTAAGTATTTTTACAGGTTTTCAAGGTAAGCAGTCTCTTCCTTCCTTCACTTGCATGTTGGGTACGTTGACCACATGAACAAAGCTAGCAGGTCTCTGGTGGGCACACAGATGATTACTGCATTGCACACAACAGAGCCAGAAGAGGGAGCACAAAGCACTTGCTTTGTTTTCAGTTGAGTCCTATGTAAACAACAGGTAGTTTATTTTAAATTTTTCTGTGAAAAAGCATCATGGAAATGAAAATACATATCTCTGCATATCTATTACTTAACAGACTGGCAGCACTGCCTTTTTCTGTCTGCTTTCTTTTCTCTAGCCCCCTGTATTGTCCATCTCGCCTTGCAAGCATAAGCTTTCTGGGGCAGGACCAGATTTTTGGTCTCTCTTAGTGGAGCATGTAGCACGCTTGGGTTCTCGTTCATAATGCTACATAAACACAGATACAGAATAACAATAATCATCATCTCTCCTCTCCATGCCACCACAGCCTTTTAATTTAATTTGCATCTGCCCAGTAGGATACCTAAGAATGGCTACTCAAAATAGGCATCCGGGGTCCATTTGTAACCAAACAATATTTAGAGTAAAACTATCCTCAAGCAAAAAAGACTAAAACATGACCAGCTCAGTATGACAAAACAGTGGCAGCCTTTCCAGAGGGAACTCATTTGGGAATCTGGGTAATTGCAGAGAATCAGGAGAACCCAGGAAAAATCCACTTGACTGCTGGTGGAGCCAGGCCAACAACACTGCTAACACAGCATCCTCAAAGCACACTGTAGTCATGACATCGATTCCAAAGCCAATGCTGCCAAAGATAAAAGTACTGAGAACCTGGCACCCCTCATGTTTTCCCAGAGTATGGGAGAAGCTATTAATGACAGAGGGCAGCATCAGAGAAGCACACGCTGAAGAGGAACACCAAGCCTCCCTCCTCTTGCTCTGCTCAGCTGCCCTTATGGGCTGCACAGTGGTGGAGACCAAGCTGATGCTCTCCCAGCAGCTTGTGGTCTACAGGGTTGAGTAAATACTTACTCATTAGACTGTCATCAGCATGACTCAGCCCCAAGGAGGGAGGGAGCGAATCCTTCCTCAAGGATGAAAAGCACTCAGTCAGTGCAGCATCCTCCACGTCTGTATATACAAGAGGAAGGTTTCCATTGCTCAATCACTTTTCTGGTGGCCAAATGTTTCAGCAATTACCTATGCTTGCTAATGATCACATCAAACCCTTCTGCTGGCTTCTCTTCTTGGAATTGCTTTTGGATTCATGGTTTGCTTGTTGGGTTTCTTTTCCTGTCTTTTCCCATCTCCCTCCCGAATACATGGGGAAAAAATAATCACAGTCACTGGTGTTTTATTCCATGTCCTACTGTACAGCAAAACAAACAAGAGCACTTGCAAATCATTAAAAAAATACTAAAAGGGGGGAGAAAAGGAAAAAAAGAGAAAAAACGTGCAGTCCTAAATTTAAAAGCAAACAGATGTACCATTCCATAAAGTGACTTTAGGTCCCTTTAAAACAACAGGCACAGGCAGATATAATAGAGAAAGAGTTGTGTTGCCCCTTCATTCTGTTTTCATGGATGGATTTAAACTTACTTCAATAGGGACAGCTGTTGGAGGCACAGGAGTGTACTGGGGAATGTAGGTCCCTTGCATAGGTGCAGCAGCAGTCATGTACTAGAACAAATCAAAGGCAAATTAACATTAGAGAAACACAATCAAGTTGCATGGAGTGTAGCAGAAACATGACACCTTCAATTTCTCGAACAGTTTGTTGGTTAGGGTATACTCAATTAATTAGCATTCTTTTAATTAATGATTTTAGTGAATGTAGCTATTAGCTATTAAATATCACAATCTTGGTCTTCAAGGTGAGGTCACATCTGAATATAGGGAATAGCAAAAGATCTTACTGGCAGAGTCAGATGATTGTATTATCTTTCATCTACTTTTTAAAAACAAGAGACGCCTATTTGTACTTATTAAAAAAAACACACACACACACAAAAGAGCATGATAATAGCATATATATAGTGTTTACAGATATCAAAGGGTTTAAATGATCTTCTGGGATCTTTTAGTGTCACCTACAAAAATCCAAGCATGAAATTTAAGATTTATTCAATTCTATATATAACCCTACAAATAAGAGCAATGGAGTTTACAGGGATACAGAGTTGCTGGGGGATTGGAACCAAAAAAAAAAAAAGAAAAAGAAAAAAAGACAGGAGGAAGAGATTTCTGAGAGCATCTCCTTTTGTACATATAAGCCCTAACCAAATTTTTATCGATCACTCATAATATCTTTTCCAAGCATCTAGAAACCTCTCCGAATTATTATAGTATTAGGCTTTCTATTTTCTCTTCCAAACATTGTAAGAAACTCTTTTTTTTTTTTTAATTTATGAATGGATGTGGATTTTGCCATTGGTATGGCACTAATCTCTTTACATACAGCAGTTCCTAAAAAGCTCTTGAGCTGAATGCAACAGATTGTTCAAATCTTCAAATAAAGTAGGAATATTAAGTTGTCAGATCTCTATGTACTTTTCCTTCAACAATCCAGTCCTAACTGTATGTCTTCACTGACAAGAATCTCAGAATGTGCTCAATCCCACGACTGACTACATGACACTTCCACTACATGTTATCTTCAAAGACATGCCGAAGATCTGAATCTACCCAGAATGTATTTGATGAATTTTAAAATGAGTTAAATATAGCTTGGCTTCCTGGCAGAGCTAGGAAGTGCTTGCAAGATTTTATTCTGCTGTTCATAGTAAAATTTACATTTAAAGCACTCTCTCACCTCAATTTTAAAATAAATGGATGGTTTGATATGCCTGTCACAAACATGCATTATGAAATTACAAAGTGGGGTGCAGAATCTGCAGCAATGCTAGAGAAAGGGCTTAGCAAATGAGAATGGTGAATTTAGCTATCCCAGCACTAAAATTTGAAGCCCTCATTCAAGAGAGAAAGAAAAAGAATGACCTAAATGAATTTGTTTTCTATAGAAAAGAGCCAGAGAAGAACACAGAGGGAACAGAATGTAAACTTGCATTATAAGTAGGATATTGTGCTGAAAATCATGGCAATATTGTTGCTGCAATTCACAGCATTTTCTTTAACTCGGCAAAGAGAGACTGGAGCACCCCAGCGTATATGTGCCATGACTTTCTGCAGCTCCTTCTTCTTCAGAAAGAGAATTGAATTCAATAGTTTTTCTATGAATGCTAAGCTACCAAAGACATTAGCCCAACGATCCCCATTGTACTCAGTACAGTAGGGTTATTCTCCAGCCTCAAGGATTAGGAACTAATGAGACTGTTACAGCAGGGTGTTCCAGAACTGCTTCCGTTTCATTCAGTCTGCTCTGTCATGTTGCCATCACATGTCGGGCTGACAGCTGCTGGGTAGCATTGTTCTAAATGTGTCAATATTTAGCATCAACCCAAGGCACTCACTCTTCCAGTTCTGCAAAGACTTACAAGGGTTTTAAATACCTCTCCAAGCTAGTTTCTCCCAAAGGAATATATATCTTCTTAATTAAAAGCGTTAATTTAAAGAACAAAGTGGCCTCATTCAACTTTGATTTCCTCAGACTTCTTCCCTGAACTCAGCAGAGGACTGGCACACAGACTCCTAAGATGCAATTCCCTGCTATCCTTTTACCTTAAACAACACCTACAAGTTTTATTATTACAGACATACAATTATTTAACTGCCTCTAAATTCAGATCACTTTTTTTTTTTTTGCAAAGTCATTTGGCATTGAATTCTGTAGCACAATAATAGAAAGTGTCCAGGAATTAATTTGTATCTTTGTTGGCACTGCCACTATTGCTTTTGGTATTGCAAGAGCATGGACAGAGCGTCCCACTCTGAGCCAGCTGCTCTAAAGGAATTTTACTTTTTCCCTGTGTACAATATTCTGCCTGTGCAAATGTCCATATTAAAGGTGGCTCAAGCTTCTGATTAAATTGTCTGGAGTTCTTCTGGATCAACTGAACCAATGACACAAATGAAATCACAGTTTTTCTAGAAAAGAATTTGGCCTGTATAAGTTAGCCAAGGTTCAACCCAATATTGAAGTACTGCTGCTTAACGATTGCCTCTTGCCCACATAGTATCAGGCGGGAATATATTATGGGGTCATATACTATGGTGGAGTACCCAAGTGGAGTGGAGCACTGAAGTGTCCTTAATACATTTATCTCTGTGTAATTAAAGACAAGCTCATCATTTTACAAAAGAGTAACCAGATCGATAACTAAACATGCAGGAAGCCTTGGAACTGATTCCTAGTCTCCAGGCTCTCACTGAAGGACTCACTGAGGAGCCTGTATAGAAGGGTGCAAAACTGTAAGAACAGCTAGAGCTTAATTCCCAGAGATGTGCAGCTGGTCTTAAGTATCTAAATCTCCTTGACATCCACAAGGAGTCCTACCTGAGATCACTGCTTGATCTGCTTTCATCATTGGAAGCCTGGCACTGAGGTGCTGCTTTAGTTTGTATGCTAACAGTGTAAGGAAATGGATTCCTGGGCACATACTGAGCCCACTAGAGTCCATATCTCTCTTTGTTCTCCCTGCCCCTTCCCTTGGCTATTTTGTGTAACGGCGTGCTCTGGATGGTGTGTACTGCCACTTGGGGATGTGGAAAAAAAGTCCAAAACAAGTTCTGAGATTCAGAAGAAAACTCAACCTCTTTCTTACATCTGATCTGCTCAGGACCACCCGGGATGAGGACAGCTGCAAGTGGACCAGAGGCCCAATGGAAGCATATAGTCTTCATATGGATACCCATCTGCCTCAGGAAACTAATTTAAGTTAGAAGCAGGCAGATGACAAACACAGAAGACATCTCTGTTAGAAGATTGTCACTGAGATTTATCTTCCCTGTGAACCACACTCACTAAAGGCAAGCTGTTTGTCCATATGTAAGTGTGAAAAAGAGGCAGAGACTCTCGCATACTTAGCTTAGAAGAAGTCATTTAATTCCACTAAAAATTAGTATTGCAAGCACTGAAATGAGAGATCCAAGACCATTCTTTCTTTGTCACACATTTCCATTAGGATTAAAGATTCTTCAGCTGGAATGTGATAGGTCATTCAACAAACTATGCACAAGGCAGAAGAAAAGATTGCTCATTCTTCCACAACCGTGCAGCTTTGTCGGTCTAAAAGTAGAAGCTGCTTATTTCTGACAGTAAAATGAATAGTGACTCCACAGGCACAGATGACAGATCTGCTGGGTATAAAGGGGCTTGTTTGGTACTCTGACCCTTAAAAGCTGATCATTCCTACTATGGAGAAAATAGAGACATTGCTTGCTGGTGGTTCTGGTGCTGTTAACTTATTTCTAAACTGCTATTATTTTCTTCATAAGTATATAGAGTGCATGTTCTCAGTAGTGTCAGTGTTCAGTATTCTAATACAAATGCATGCTTTACAGTGATTGACTGCTTAATTTTGACTTCACATATCAGGGCACCATTTTAGCTTATTTTATACATGAGATATTCTGCTCACACCTTGTTGTGATATTTCATTCTTTTGGGAAATGCCTGAAGTATATGAAAAATATATAGCTGGAAAATGAGAGAGTAGTAATATATACTTACACCTTGACTGCCCTGAGAGAATCACTGTACATGACAAGGAAGGAGGTAACAAATGGATGAGAAGGCGGGCAGACATGGAGAAAATGAAAATGTGGGAAGGATAATGTTTAATTCAGAGAGCAACATCAGTTCTTACAGATCTGTGAAGAGTGGGGTGTCCCAGCCCGGCTTCAAGCAAGACATTTCTGGAGCCTGCAGTGAACACTAAACCCATAAAAGCGCAGGCAGTGGGAAGAGAAAAATGACGGAAACGCAGCTGCCTCTGTCTGGTTTCCACCATTTCTCCCACCAAAGGTGGAGCTGAGTGACCTGAAGAGAATTTGCAGAAGTTTTACATAAAGAATAAGGTACATCTTATTAATTGCCCCAGCTAGTCTCTGGTCTGCCATTCCTGGGTCCATGTTAAGGGACTCGGCAAGAAACTACTGCTGTGATGCAGAGCAAACGCCACCAAGATCAGCTCTTTGCTGTTGCATTTGAACAGGGGCAACACCTGCAAGACTGAATGCCCCTTGCAGCTTAGTTTAAACCATCAGAAGACTTTGGCCACATGCTTTGTTTGAATTTTGAAGCTCTGTAATAGATATTACTAAAAGCCACCCTAAAGTACAATTCTATTTATAGATGTCGTTGCCTATAAAATAGCACAGCTGTGATTAGAAGACTACTTGATACACAAATTAATTGTCTTGGTCACCACGAGCATCATGGGATTTTACAGAATGATTACAATGTAAATCAAAAATAATGTATACACTATGGTATTAATATATACATTTGAGGTAGATTCGGAAACTAAGAAAAGTACTGCTCAGATAAGCAGCCTTACTATGGACAAGGAGCAATAAGCAAGGAATAAATGTTCAAGAAGAGGCCTTCTATAAAGCAGTGTAAACATGCTGCTTTCTGGAGTTTTGCATGTTTTAATATAAACATATACCTGCTGCAAGAATTAAAGATTGCTTTTCTTTAACCTCTATGATCCTGAGAGGCACACAGGCTTGTCAGTTACAGTCAGAGCTAAACTGAAGAATCCTGGTAGAGGATATCT